CTATTGATGGATGGCTACGGATTAAGCTACTTTAGACCCTGCCTTTGGGATTTTTAGTTCAATGTTTGAGATTACAGAAATCTTAAATTGATCACTATTGTAACAGATTAGAGTCTACCAAGGGATCCTATGCCAAGGAATGGACCATGTGGGAGAGAAAATTACGTGAGATTCTTTTTGGAAATGATGAGTATCTTAATTCAATTCAGGTTGGTAAATCTTCTTCTTCTAAAGTCGTAAAAAAGAATCGTATTCTAAAATGCTATTGTTTTCCCTGAACATCTGCAGGTTCCATTTGAGGTTGCTGTCAAAGAAGTCTCAGAACAATTAAGGAACATTGCCAAGGGTGATTATACGCCACCGGACACTGAGAAGAGGAAATTTGGATCCATTGTTTTCGCTGCGCTCAGTCTGCCCGTTACAGAAATTCAAGGAGTCCTCAAGAATGTAAGTGAAGTTTCTTCTCTTTTAGTTGCCATTGATTCTTTTTCCTGATGTGTTGATTGAAAACTTTGCTTTTGTCAGCGTTCTTTATTTTCTATTTTTATTTACTATCCTTTAATTATGTATCAAAGGGCATTTAGAAGTGAAAAATGTATGCTCATGTCAACTTTATTATTTAAAAGTTAGCCCGCATGTTTTGCCGTTAAGGTGGTAGCTATGTCGGTGCTTCTTGATTGGACCCCCCTCCTCCTCTCTCCTTACTGGGACCTGAATTGGATCATGTGTTGAGTTCCGTTTTCTGAGAAAGAAATGAGTCACTGTGGCAGATTTCTTTATATATATATATATATATTTAAATTCAGACGAGCAGTCTAAATAGAAGTTTCACTGTAGAAACACTACCAATGTATACAAGATGCAACAACAAAAAATTTCAAGCCCACTTGCCCATTTGTCCCCTACCCCCTTCTTGTTTTTCTTGTCTGCACCTACTTTCAGTGCAATACAGTTTTTTTCCTCGTGTTTCTATGCCACAACATGCACCCACCATTCACGGTATTCACTCCCTACTGATATCGAACTTAAAGAACAGACGTAAGTCATAACAATATAGAAATCAGGACCCTTGTCTGATCTATAGTATCTATTTTAGGATGCCTCAGCTGCATACATCACTGCACTTCCACCTGACGCTCATCGTTAATGATACATATGCAGATAGCTTCGAGTGATCCTTCAGTGGAAGCTTTTCTTAAAGGCAAGCATTTAGAGAATCTGCAGAGAGCCCACGTGACTCTTGCCCACAAGAGAAGTCATGGCGTGAAGGCTGTTGCGGATTATGGCGCGTTCTTGCATGAAAAGGTGCCGGTGGAATTGAAAGCTTTGCTCTTCTCAGACGAAATGGCTGCATTTGAAGCTTGTCCTGGCTCACTGGAAGGTGAAAAGATAGTTTCCAAAAATGCATGGCCTCATATCACTCTGTGGACTGCTGAAGGGGTTTCAGCCAAAGAAGCCAACGCGTTACCGGAGTTGTTTAAGCAGGGCAAAGCATGTCGCGTTGACTTGAATCCTCCCGTCGCCGTAACTAGCACAGTTGAGTTTTTCTAAGCCTCTTTTTGCTATTCATTCCTTTCTTGAAAAATAAGAAAGAATAGAATAAAAATACATGCTCATGCATAGCAAAACCAAATGAGTAGACTTGCACTGGGTTTTATAGAGAATGGTGAGAGTTGATGGGGAAAAATTTTGTAGGAGCCAGCATTTTCTCCTGTGTATGCGGCACACATACATGTGATGTCTTGTTGCCCCCGGAGTTATCTGTTCGAAAACATTTTATTCTGATACAGCAAGATGTAAAATAATATCATCTAATTATTTCACTTTCGTCTTTAGATGAATTCATACCTGCTTCCTCGATCCAGGGCCTACGCTGTGTTTGGAACATAACTTTTCTTTTCATGACAGCTTAGTTAGAATTCTCATAGTTGATCTTATAAAAGTATTCACAGATCGTCTATCAACAAATATATCGGTAGTAGGATTTGAATTCATAATTTTGAGTTATGAACAAACTCTTTACTGACTAGATTAACTCTCTTTAGTTAGTGTAAAAAAAGATATATTATTTATAATATTTGATAGCTACGAATAATGTACTTTCATTTCTCACACTTCTTGCAGCCTAGATTACCCAAAAGTTTGGCAAGAAAGCAAAATTGTTTGAAAATTAATAACGTCTACTCTTCTGGTTTTATTTATAAGACAGAGAGAAAAGATATATTTTTGTCTTATTTATATAATATGAGAGAAATATTTTGTATGGATGTATAATTTTACTTTTTATTTATTATTGTATTAATTTTGTTTATATGAAGTATAATATATATTAAATAAAGATAAAATTGGAAAATAGTTGAATTTTAAATAGGAGTTAATAAAGTTTAAAGATTTTTTTAATTTGTGTAAAACATGTGGAAAGTGATTTATAAATAGAACTAAAAAAGTATATATATTTATAAAATCTTATACAAGGCTATAAGTCATATGATTTACGCTTCATAAGCCATAGGCCTTACTCTTTACCTCAGCCATGAATAATATCGCCTTTATATACGTTGCGGTTTTCGCCCTCGTCGTGACTTTATGGCCTTGAATTTAAAATTTTTTTAATTCATATACTACTTCCACTTATTAATATAAAAGTTAGTTTAACTTTTAATTTAAATATAAATATAAAGTCTCAATTTATTTTGTCTTTTATATTCATTTATTACCTCTGTAATAATTATATATGTTAAATATTTCATTAAAGAGTAGTTTTAGCTACTCAATAATAAGAGTATTTTAGAAAAAATAACACTTATTTATTATAAATAACTGACTTAACTAATTTTTTAATTATAAATAACTAATTTAACTAATTTTTTAATCTCTTTTAATCAGTCAATTAGATTTTATATTAAGAATTGTGATAGTATTTTTCAGTTAAAAATATTTAATATCAAGATAACGGTAGAATAATTTCCCAGCAAAATTTTCTGAAAATACGAACCTGAACAGTTGCAAATGAGAATCTCAATTGCAAGCTAAGAATTATATTTCAACTATAAACATCTAATTTGTTATTAAGACCCTAAATCTAAAACAATATGAATTTTTATTCTCAATTTTCTTACAAAATATTTTGTAGGATAACGGTAACTAAATTGACATTCTGATCTGATACCTAATTGTCATTCTCTCTAAATTAAAATTACTAAAGAAATTAAAACAATAAAAATAAAATGTATTGTTTCTTTATGTAGTTAAAATTTATCAAAAATTTATCACATTATCTAATCAATGGACGAGATATGGTTTTATTAAACAAGGGAAAATGACAGATAAAGAAGCTCCAAAATGTGAAATGCCAATTTGGGAAGCTAAGGAAATGTAATTACCCATAGGGAAATCCTTCCCAAATTGGGATTTTAAAATTCAGCAAAATGACAAAAATGTCCTTTATCCTTTTTTTTTTTTAAAAAAAAAACCCAGCCCCTCACCGGTGGCCGGCGACCACCGCCGGCGACTGGCCTCCGGCGGCCGCCGACCGCCTCCAGCCACTAGTGTGGTGGCTGCCGGTGAAGGATTTTTATGACAAGATTTTTTTTTTTTTGGAATAAGATAATATTGGTTCAAAGTGGCGGGGGTGGGATTTGATCCCACAACCCCTTGGCCACTTGGACCAACAAAAGGATGGCCATTGGGCCATCAAAGATTTCTTAACCTTATAATGCAAACAAAAATATAAGTTAACTCTTTTACTGTGACTCCAGCTCGTGACAACAATTTATCTGAGGATGACAAGTCTTAATTGAGAAATAACAAGTCTAAATTTGATATTAACAAAGCAACTTTTCGTTATACAAATGATCATAATTATTTAAAAATGACACGTCTTTGTTGAAAAATAACAACAATTTATTCGGTATTTCTTGTTATGTATAACGAAAAGTTGCTTTGTTAATATCAAATTTAGACTTGTCATTTTCCAGTAAAGACGTGTTTTTTTCAAATAAATTATGGTCATTTTTAATTAACGTAGATGCTATTTCTTGTTATGTATAAAGAAAAGTTGCCTTGTTAATATCAATTTTAGACTTGTCATTTTATAGTAAAGACGTGTCATTTTTAAATAAATTATGATCATTTTTAATTAATGCACATGCTGCTATGTTATGTATAAGGAAAAGTTGCTTTGTTAATATCAAATTTAGACTTGTTATTTCTCAATTAAGACTTGTCATCCTCAGATAAATTGTTGTCACGAGCTGGAGTCACAGTAAAAGAGTTAACTTATATTTTTGTTTGCATTATAAGGTTAAAAAATCTTTGATGGCCCAATGGCCATCCTTTTGTTAGTCCAAATGGCCAAGGGGTTGTGGGATCAAATCCCACCCCCGCCACTTTGAACCAATATTATCCTATTTCCAAAAAAAAAAAATCTTGTCACAAAAATCCTTCACCGGCAGCCACCACACCGGTGGCCGGCGCCGGTGGCCGGAGGCAGTCGGCGGCCGCCGGAGGCCAGTCGCCGGCGATGGTCGCCGGTCGCCGGCCATCGGTGAGGGGCTGGGTTTTTTTTAAAAAAAAAAAAAGAACAAAGGGCATTTTTGTCATTTCACTGAATTTCAAAATCCCAATTTGGGAAGGACTTCCCTATGGGTAATTACATTTCCTTAGCTTTCCAAATTGGCATTTCACATTTTGGAGCTTCTTTATCTGTCATTTTCTCATTAAACAAAGTGTTCATGATTTTTTTAAAGGAAATTTGACCCAAAAGGATCTTTTAAATGAAGTGTTCTAAAAAGCATGGACTGCGTCTAGCCCTCGTGATCGGACGTTTATACCCATCCGCGTCGACACCATGAATCGACAGCAAAGCTCCCTTGATTTTACATGCACGCCACGTATCTACCCGCATTCCCTGCCTCCTCTCTTCATAAGCACCCTTCCCCCCTCCATTACTCCCCCATCGCTCAATTCCCACACACAGGAGATAAAAGAAGAGAGGAAACTATGCTAAACAGAGCTACCCTTTTGGTCTTTCTTCTTGTTCTGTGCCATGGATTGGCAATGGGGAAGGATTATGTTGAAGAAGAAGAAGATTGGAGGAGCGAGGAGCCAGAGAGAAAAGAAAGATGGTTGCCTGCAGAGTCAAGTGACTGGTTCTTGTTGCGACGCTCGAGGCAACTGATCAAGACTGATGCAGGGGAAATGAAAGTTACGGAAAGCTATGGCGGTAGGGTTGTGGACAGGCCAATGCACATTGGCTTCATCAATATGGAACCAAAGTCCCTGTTCATTCCTCAGTACCTCGACTCTAGCTTGATCCTTTTCATCCGTAGAGGTATTACGATCTCTGTTTCTCCCATTTGTGTTCGTGGTTGTCAGATTCAGTTTGTTTTAAAGATATCAGTTAATTGCAGGGGAGGCGAAGTTGGGATTCATCTACAAAGATAAACTGGCAGAAAGGCTTTTGAAGACTGGGGATGTGTACACAATCCCAGCAGGCTCTGTGTTCTACTTGGTGAACACAGGACGAGGTCAGAGACTTCATATTATCTGTAGCATCGACCCCTCTGAGAGCTTGGGAATAGGCGTTTTCCAGGTACATGCATTGTGTTACTCATATCTATTTTTCATAATCAACAGACAGTCTAGTGCCATTATATCATTGCCTTTGATGAAGACTGATTTTCATAGCTAAATTCTCAATCTCTCGGTCTCTGCGTAGTCCTTCTACATTGGAGGAGGAGCCTACCCGCCATCAGTTCTTTCTGGGTTCGAGCCTGAAGTCGTTAGAGCTGCTTTAAATGTAAGCTGCAAGTTTAACTCAACAGCAACAGCTAAAAAATGCCAAACTTCCATCATCGGCACGAAAGACTTAACGATTTTGTTTATCATACAGACATCAGGCTTTGAGCTAAGGAAAATCCTCACGAAGCAACAAGGAGGGCCAATCGTGTTTGTGGATGACTCTCACGCCCCAAGCCTATGGACCAAGTTCCTTCAACTGAAGGAGCAAGACAGGCTTCAACAACTCAAGAAAATGTTGGACGACCATGCAGAATCCGACGATGACGAAGAGAAGGAGCAGGAGGCAGAGCGAACAGATTGGTCATGGAGGAAGCTCTTGAACTTTGTCTTTGGAAATGTGAACAAGGAAACAAAAAAGAGAGAGATCGTTAAATCTCCTGACTCTTATAATCTCTACGACAGGAAACCCGATTTCAGAAACCGCTTTGGTTGGAGCGTTGCTTTGGACGGCTACAATTATTCCCCGCTCAAACGCTCCGGAACCGGCGTTTATCTCGTCAATCTCACAGCCGTAAGCAAACTCACTCCATTTTGACCCTCTGGACTTAGATCTTGAAGTGATGTGTTGTGAGACTTACACTTTATATTACAAAGCCAAAATCCCGGCAATGTTTCAATTCTTTTCCATTACTATGGCAGGGGTCCATGATGGCACCGCATGTGAATCCAAGGGCCACAGAATACGGCATCGTATTGTACGGAACCGGAAGGGTTCAAGTCGTGTTTCCAAATGGAACTGCGGCAATGAATGCCAAAGTCAGAGAAGGGGATGTGTTCTTCGTACCTAGATACTTCCCATTCTGTCAAATCGCATCGAGATCTGGATCGTTAGAGTTCGTCGGGTTCACGACATCGGCGAGGAAGAACAGGCCACAGTTTCTGGCGGGAGGAACGTCGCTTCTCAACACCCTGATGGGGCCTGAGATCGCAGCATCGTTCGGCGTAAGCGAGAAAACAATGCGGCGGTTGGTGAGAGCTCAGCATGAATCTGTGATACTGCCAGCTGAACGCGCTTCGCCTGGAGACGTGGACGTAAGACGCAGAGAAGAAGGGGACGAAAGGGAAGAACGAGGGGAAGATGCTTGGTCGAGTAATTAAGAACTTTGAGAGTAATATGATTAGGAGACGTGATTAGATTAAGATAATTAGGATTAAGAGAATAAGAGGGTCGGGTTAGTGAGAAACAATAATTTAGCTTTTAGCCGGCCAGAAGCTCGTTGCCTAGTCCGTTTCATTTTGATGTTCTTTTTCCTTTTCTTTCAGAGGTTTCAGTACTTTCACGAATTTTCCTTCGCCGTCAATAAAATTTTCATCTCCCGACGTGGCCTCCTCATCTTGGACGAACTTAAAAACAATTTTGTTTATACTATAATTATTTTTTAAGCCCATAGCCCTCCCCTAAAGCAACTTTATTGGAATCGCAGTTTCTTAATTGTGATTACGTGAGAGGAATCTTATTTATACTCACGTGAAAGTAGAGTAGAGATTAACAAGTCCAGCCCTTATTGCGTGGTTGCGTGGCGGAGTCGCCGTGGCTTGTCAGAATTGGGTGAGAAACTACCATATGAAGGAGGTTGGATTGGTCGTCAAATTTTTGGACGCTCTACACTGATTAACACATCCTAAGACGCTAGAGGCTTATTAAGTTTTGGAGGATTTTAAGAGAAAATGTGGGATTGAGTTGATATTTTAACAGGATCAAATTCACTTGTATGCTATTCAATGATGCTCTCCGACAACATAACTTTACATGAGTATGTTAAACATGTAATTTTTTACGACGTGCCGGAGGGGAAAACCAAAATATTACGTGCAATCACACAACCAACATAAAGTGGTCTGTAACTTCCAGCATCTTATTTTACGTCCATGTTGGTTATTGGTTCTCAACATAACTTTATTGAATTCTTCTACCTGTTCTCAAAGTTGCTAAGGATGGAGTTCTTGTGAACTTTGGACAGATTTTGAATTACGTGACGCCTCAATGCCACCACCATATCTCAAAATCTACTTACACGTTGAAATTATCTTCATTTCAGGATCATTACGTTCTGCTATGCCTTCTCTCACTCACGGTTTTGACCTTATAGTTGCTTTTGCTCTCGTCCTCTTCACCAGTACACTATTTTTTTTTTTAATTTTTCTTAATGTAAAATCAGGTCAAACAAGAAAACTTGGAGCGAAACAAAAAAATTGTGACGAAGAAGATTGAATCTGCGAGGCTTCAACCACATTTCCTCAAATCAGAATGGTGTTCGTCGTTATAAATGAGAATTGGCGATGGTTTGATCGACGCAGGTGAGTGAGATATACTCTTCTAATGTTATAGAGCTGCTTGAGGGAACGCTGTGCTCATAAAAATCTTTGAGGTGCTAGCTTTGCTTCCTTTCGTCAACTATTCAACACGTGCAACCCACGTGTCTTTAACAAGACTCTCCGAACAGGTCCTCGGTGCTTTTGAGGGTGAGACATCTCAGCACCGCCTAGACCTCCCAGATCAGCCATGAGAAATCGCGGCACTTCCTTCCTTCTCCTTCTCCTTCTCCTCAATCTAGCTTTTCATGCCCAATCCGAGGTTATCTCGTTAACCGCCGACACATTCTCTGATAAGGTATGTACTCGTCGCTCTTTGTTCTCGCCCGATACCTCAAACTTGATTGAATGAAAAATCCTCCTTGTTTTTTTATTTTTCGAAAGAAATACTCCTGAATTCCGCGGTAATTGCTCTCTATCGTTTATCATCGATAGAAATTTACGGACCCATGCTATCTATTTATTTGTGGCAATCATATGGAAACATTCCTTTACCCTAAATTACTGTAAACAATGTTCTAGTTGCCGCCGGTTGATGATTGCCTCTGCAGGTGCAGATTGTGATGTGAAAAACTGTAGAATACGGATGTGTGTGCTTGAGGGTATTCATGAAGCTGTTATTGAATTGCACGTCAGTTGTTAGTTTTAGGGTCGCATTTTTCAATCACCTTTGTTTTGCGTATTTGTCTGTTTCGTTTAGATCAAGGAGCAACACACTGCGTGGTTTGTGAAATTCTGCGTTCCCTGGTGCAAGCATTGGTAACTTTCTTTTTCCTACTCTGCAATAAGCTTGACTAAATAAATTTTCAACTGCTTACTGACCTGTAATGGTAACACTTAATGTCAGTAAGAATCTGGGATCATTATGGGATGATTTGGGCAAAGCGATGGAAGGGGAAGATGCAATAGAGATTGGAGAAGTAGATTGTAGCATCAACAAACCCGTATGTGGCAAAGTTGATATTCACTCATATCCCACTTTTAAGCTCTTTTATAATGGAGAAGAAGTTGCTAGATACCGCGGTAATTAAAATCTTTCCGTTTTGCCAAAGATGTGTTTCATAGATTCCACTTTATTCTCACTGTTACTGTTTATCAATTTGACCCATATGATCCAAGCTTGTGATTAAGAAGGTGATCGGATGAGCTCGATTGTAGCCAAAGATACATCATCACATTACAATTTTCGATTTTAGAGTTGGTCTATTTCTAAGGATCATGGATAATATTGAAATTCAAAACTTATTTCTGGTGAAATTTTGTTATTGACATTGAAAATTATTCAAGTCAGAGGTGGTTGATTTGAGTAATGTGTTAATAATTTTGTATTAGATCATTAACCTGAAAAAATCTGTGTATGTCCTTGTCATATTTGGTCTAAGCTTTCTTGAGTCTTATTTTGATTTGGTTGTGGGATACTCGTATTGGGTACTTCCTCTCTTCCTCCTTCCCTCTCATTCGGTATTAATTTTGCCTTTTTGTTTAATGCTCAGGCCCAAGGGATGTTGAATCATTAAAAACCTTTGTTTTGGAAGAAGCTGAGAAGGCTTCGGCAAAAGCACTTGACATTGATAAGGAATTGTAACAATTTTGTGGGTATACTCTGAATCTCACGCCAGTGCTGGTTTTTTTTCCTCCTCTTCTGAGTCTTTCTAGTTGTACTGCATGTAGGCAAACTTGAATCTCACTTTTTTTTTCTTCTGGAATGGCAATTGATCAAGAATTGCGTTTTGTGCAGCCATAACCCGGGATGCTACTGCTCTCTATTCTTCACCACAAGTGCTGCAGGTTTCACATTACTGATTATCTCTGGGCTTGAGCTGAGATTAGTGAAGATACAGTTTGCTCTGCTCCAAACATCATTTGTTTATTCTACCAAGTAGTAGTTATTTTGAAGATTAGTTTGTATTCTACCCCGTCTAGTTTGACCCCCCGAGTTCATAAAACTGATAAACATCCGAGTTTCAATTTTGGATATAGATGCTGGCAGGTTGAGATTTAATCTTGAATCATTCTTGCAGGGTTTTCCTTTTTTTCATGTCCATCTCTCGTTGACTGTTCGTGATTTTTTACTGAGACCTGCGCGATTAATATGTTATCAAGTAAATAAATGCATAAACGGCTAAATATTGAAAAATATCATGGCATTCGCTTTAGCTTTGTAATCTGCCTAACTGATCATGATTGTCATCCAGATTTATGTAACAGTAGATAATAGCGTCAGCTTGTTAGATATTAGCCTAAGAAATTAGTAAATGCAAAAAAAAAAATGTTTAATTGTAATTGGTGGTCGTTTTCAGCGCACACGTCAAGCTACGATGTAGTTGTGGTACAGCATTATGGGAGTTGTTTGATTAATTTTCCGCTTGGCATGTTGTAGCGGAATTAAATTATGTCTTGAAACGTATCAGCCAGGACCACTCGTACAGTGAGAAACCAATGAAATGTCCATAGTTCGGGTCTCTGTATTCCGTATATGACCAATCAATTTGACATGATTACAAGAATTGTGTTACAAAGGGAAGCAAGGCCGTCCTAGAACTAAACTCGGTTCAGGCATCCTCTTTTAAAGTACAAGCTAATTTTACCCCTTTTGTTCTGTTAGTTCTCTTCTCTCTGATTGGGGAATCTTTGGTCTGGTGCGTCCCCTGTTTCCTGGCAAATTGGATGCTGTTCGCTGGGGGGGTGGGGGGTTTTGGATGCAGGCTTTGACTCATGGGCCCAATGTGTCGTAGACTGCAGACGCGAGTCGATTCTCTGACTGAAGAAATCTGGAAACTCAAACCATTCGAGCTGCTTCTATGTAAAGATCATAGACAGGCGCCAGCTTCAGGACGCTGCAAGGCATGGTATGATCGATTACAGGCAACAAGGATTCCAGCGGAGGCCATACATATAGGCCATGGGTAGAAGACTGCCATAAAATGCTTCATGGATTTCAAAAAGGTAAGCTCTCACTCAATAACTTGAAATATTCTTGTAAAGCGGAATGTTACGTAATGCCTGAAAAAGGAAGCAGGAGAGTGAATAAGCAGATACCGAAATGAAGAAGGAAAGTGGAAAGCAAAGAAGTGGCCCTTTGTTTTGGGGATTGATTCCGTCGAGCGATTGCAAGAGGAAGGTTTATTAGGCAGGAGAAAGGACGCCATTGGCACAGAGCCACTAGCGGGGTGGTGTCGATGCTAAAATGGGTCAGAGACAACGGCGTCATCTCTCCTGCATAGCAAACCTCTCATGCTAACCTATTACGCTATACTATAGTATGTACCTCTCCCTCTCCCTCTCTCTCTTGTATTCATTCTAAACCCTATCTGCCAAACCCCTCATTTATAGATTCTATTCACTTGTTTCATATCTTGTTCTCACAGTTGATACGTTTGCCCCCAAACACATCACCTTTGTTGTCATTCTTATGTGGTCATGTTCTTCTGTGATGAGGTCACTTCTCTGATGTCGGCTCCTGTCGTGAGGCTGCTCCACCCTTTTTTTTTTTTTGGTCGCTTTTTCTTGTGTTCTCTGCATGATTTAGTTATAGTGTCATCATCATCACCAATAATGCATTTTCTCCCTGTAATCATGATTACTTTTGTGAAATGGAGAAAGCTATGGGAATAATATTGGATGAAGGCCAAGAGACCATGTCCACTTACATTGAACACTCCCATTTATTACTTTTTCTCTTTTTCCACCCTCATGATTTGGATGTACAGCTTAGCTTTTTCCTCACTGGTTGTGTTAGTTTTTTAATTAATTGTTTGTGGGTTTTGTTTGGAACTGCTTATCTTTACATTAAATGCTTATTTTTTATTAAATGTGTCTCCAAAGTGTCCAGTCTTTCAACCACGCGAGTGCAGACGTTGAATAGCTTCAGTCCTCTGCTTACAACCCGCCCGCCATGCGTCTTCTAAAAGTACCGTGGATGTAAATTGTTTCATTCATTCATTTTCGAAGTGTTACTTGATTGTGAATTTATTCTAAATGTAAGGTAGATAACTAATTTATATATATTAAAAAAATTTGTTAAATTAATTATTTAAAAAAGTATGTTAGTTTCCTAAAAACGCCTCCTTTTAATAATTTTGCAAGGGCAATAATTCTATTAATGTGTGCAATCAATATCTAATAAATATAGAGAATAAAAAATATTGATGTTTTATATTTAACATCAAAATAATTCTGTCATCTAGCTCTTAGTATTGTCTTTTAAACACAAAGAAAATTAGTGCTATTTTGCACATGCTGGCCCCAAAAAATCAAGCCTCTAAAGTTCTGAACGAGGAAAGTGCCAACAAGTAAATTTTTCTTTTTGTAAAAGCCACACTTAATTCTTCAGTTTTATACTTGATTTTAATTTGGTCCTTAATTTTATAAAGTATCCTTTGGATGTTCAGTCCTTAATCCCATTAGTCTCAAATAATATTATTTTTGTAACAATCAAATTAAATTTACTACTCCCTCCGTTCCTTATTATAAGAGACATTTGATGCTTATGACATGTTCCTATATATAAGAGACACTTAAAAGTTGTCTCTATTTTTTTGTATTGATTTCCTATTTTACCCCTATTTATTTTGTCTCCAACTCATACTCTCTCTCCCTCCCACTTCTCTTTCTTTTAATAATTTAATTGTTCTCTCTCATACTCTCTCTCCTTATTAATGGGGGCATTGTTGGAAAAAAATATTATACTTTTTACATATTAATTGTCCTCAACTAATTTTAACTGTTTTTTTGATCAACGTAATTTAGTTATTTGTCTCTTATAATAAGGAACGGAGGGAGTATATCAATATTTAAGAATATTTTATCAACATGTAAAACTTTAATTTTAGAATTTTTTTGCTAAAATAATTTATAAAATTTAGAAATCAAAATAAAATCTTGTATGAATTTGATTTATTTAAATTAGTAATTTTCAAAACTTTAACTACTTTTTTTAAGTTAAGTTGCACCTCCGGACACAAGGTCCGGACTCCGCCTCGCTACTGACCCATTGTTCATAATCATGTGGCAATATAAGCACCGTTTGTTACTTTTAAAATAAAACAATACTAATCTACTTCTGTAAAAGTTCATTGGAGCTTTTGGAAAGAGTGGTCCACTGCCCCTGTCATCGCCGCGTTGGCGAATTTGGTCCAATTTTTCTTTGTGATAAGAATTTCACACACAGACACACATACCTCTTTGTTCAAATTGATTTTTCATTCTAAATATTGATCAAGATGCAATTGGTTAAGAGTTAGATTTTGATGTTGTTCTGCTGCAAGTATATCTATAAGCAATCAATAACTTCTTCTTTTCAATTATTAAAAGGCAATTTTATTCATAAACATAAAAAGATTACACTAAAATTAATTACTACTTTTGATCTTTAATATAAAGCCAGTTAACTAATTTTAATAGATTAAGAAGATTAGTTAAGTTAGTTATTTATAATAAATAGATATTAATTTTTCTAAAATATCTTTGCCAATCAAATGTATTAATTAAAACTACCATTATTATAAAGACTATCTTAGAATAAAATAAATAAATATGAAAGATAAAATGAATTGAGATCTTATATTTAAAATTAAAATAAAAGTTAAATAAGTTTTCATACGAAGGACCGAAAATATAATACTTATCCTTTTCTATGTCTTGAACATGAGCTTCGCAGATTAATAAATCGACTGAAGTAGATTGACAATTTCACGTTTTTCATTTTTGAAAATGGAAGGGGTTTGAAAAAGTAAAGTACCCTTATACATTTATTTTTATATACTGATTAATGAACATTAAATTTTGATTTAATTAATCTTGTATAAAAAATCACAATGTTTAGAAGCGAATATTATCGTTCCAAAAAAGGGGCATATTATAACCTAGTTTTGAGGCTTCCCATGGACAATACAGTGGGGCCCACACAATTTTGGTGTTAGAGAACCCTCCAACGTTTGGATTGGCCTCAAATGAAACGTGCTGTTTAACTTCGCATCGCATTCTGGTATTTAACAAAAAAAAAAACTTCGTATCGCACTAAAGTTGGTGTTCTCGTCCCTTTGTATTTTATGCTCTCTCAGAATTTCCTCCCATGCGTAATGATCATGTTCACCATCAGTTTGTTACCTCCCAACCAAAAAAATATATATTATTTTAAATAAATTAAAAGAAAAACAATTAACAGTTAACATGTGATAAATTATTTTATATATTTAACGGGTTATGTTATTTTATTTTTCATCTAGAAATCTCAGGATACGTATAGTAAATGTCATGTCACACATACATGTGTTACAATTTGAGAAACATTGTTGTTAGAACTACTAATTTAGTGACACTAAATATTTTTAAAAAATTGTTAAAAATAAAATTGCGAGTTTGATTTTTTTTTAATAAATATGATGGGTAACTGAGTTTATTTTGTTGAATGAAAATTTTAAAAAATGGAGAAGCATTGTCATGCTATCGTTGGAAAATATTATTAGTGGTCTTAACGAAACAGAGAGACGAAGAGATTCTTTAAAATCATGCACGCTTGTTTACGCACACACACACTCTTATTATATTCAATAAAAAATTCATCCAGTTATTCGAATTATTTTTTTTGTTTATTAAGATTATAAAAATAAATGTACGCTTACTAAAAATGAAAATATTAGAATATATTTAATATTGAATATATCAAAATATAACATAAATTGTGTTTATGAATTTCTATGACTTACAAAATATGATTATTTTCTGTAAAAGAAAATAATTATGTTGAGAGACAAACAAGTTCGCAAACTGGTTCATACTTCTGATACTTTATTTTGTTTTTATCCACATCTATTTTTTTGTTTGATCAGAATTATCCACATCTATTAAACATCGATACTTAATTAATTCTATTGCACTAAGAAAATTAGGACAGCTTTCTATATTAGAGTCAAAGATTGAAATAAAAGAAAATGAAGAGAGGGGAGAAAAGCTGGGGAAAAGCCCATGAGTGCGTCCATAATCACCAAAGTCGCAGATTTTTACAGTACCTTACTGCCTTTTGTTGCATTGTCGCCCTGATCCGTCGTCCACCTGCCATAAATGCCTTCTGGATAGGACGACGCACAGCACACTTTACCCCAAATGCTCTCCCTCATACTCTCACCTCGCCCTCATCATTGACAATTACTCTTTCTCCATCTCTCCTGTTTCTTTCTCCCAACTCCTCCCAGAAAAAAAATGCAGTCCATGTTTAACCTCCGAGCCTCCTATGGCGTCCCTCTCTGTCTCTCCGGGATAACCCTAACCCTCCATGCTTCTCTTCCCCAAGAGTAATTCCTCTTTTTCTTTCTCTCTGCGCACCCAAATTTATGATCTTTTTGTTTCTCTCTCTGTCTCTCACAATTTGCGTTGTGTTGGCGGTGTAGGATGGCAGATCACGATCGCAGAAGGGAGATCATGAGACTGAGAAGGCGCAGATCACTGCCCACGCACCCTCGTCATGCAAATCAAGAAATGGCTCTCCTCACAAACTCTGTGGACATCAAACATGGCGAACATGGAGATCTGGATGATTCTATTCTACTTGATCTGTTTCAGGGTTTAACTGCTAAAGCTGCGTAGTGATTTGTTCACCGGAATCACCACCGTTTGTGGTTCTCACCGGTCACCTGTGAAATCCTCATGTTGTAGGCTCTGTTTTCACCTTCGAAATTGTTATGTGTTCTGAATTTGCCTCGTCCTTGTTCTGTTTCAGTTGTTGGTTTCTTTAATTGTTCTCAAGAATTATTCTCCATGTGATATAATATAGCATATGTTACACCCTTCTCAATCTGATTATGCAACCAATTAGCTCAAGTTCTCGATCATTTATATTCATGGCCGGAGCCCTCTCCAAGTAGCTCCGTGATTGCAATTACATCGTTTTTTTAAGAATATTTTGCTGTATCAAGCCATTAACCAGAGTGAGAAAAGCTTAGCCCATCTTTGTTTCTATCTGAAGGGGGTTGAATTAGAGGTAGAATTAATCAGAGTTATTAGTCGTAAATGCTTGCTTCCACCTGGTGGTTTTGAGTCCCATAAATTATATTCAGAAGAGCAGGAAGGTAAACGTCAGTGTCTGTGTCTATTTCTAGGCTTAATGTGATGTCAAATCAGTCCTATTAGTCGCAGCAAGCTCTACTGGGATAACTATTCGCCATTATTATCCAAAGCTTCCGTCTTTTAATCTTGTTTTCCTTCGATTTTACCGTTTGTCGACTACGACTCTGTAACATTCCGACAGGAGACGTCTAAGGTCGAACACGAGATAGGTAATTTCATCGTATTATTCCAAACAAACAGCTAATCTGGATAACATCGAGTAGTTAAAATTCGATCATCAATTCATCATCAAACAAAAAAAGTTTTTTAAGAAAATCTAGTATATTTTGAGGGATTGCTAAGATTCACCCAGTATTTGCGTTAAATTTGGAATGTAATGGATACATTTCTTCTGCTATACGTGGTTTTGAGTGAAAATTATTCGCTTCAACAGAGTGAATAAATAAATAAGAAAAAAATAATAAAAGATTTTAAAATTACTAAATGACAAATTATGATTAAATTTTAAAATTTCAATTAAGACTGTTTGTACTATTTTGAAAATTTTCAAATCTTATAAAATTATGCAAATATCTTTTATTATTATTTTTTATATAAATATTGTCATCTTAGCACTTTCGGCTACTGAAGTTCTGGTGACATGTCACCAGAGTTTTGGTGACTACTCTATCTTATGTATTGATTACTTTTTTTTTATTGACTCAATTTGTTTTTAGAACTTCCATGATTACTTTTGTTTAGCTACTGGCTACTTTAGTATTATGATTAAATAGTTTTATTTTTAAAATTTTGGTGACTGCTCATATTTAACTATTGACTGCTTTGGTTTCGTTATTGACTACTTTTGTTTCAAAAATTCAAAAAAATGCACCAGGTGTTGTTGGAAATTTATTGACTAGTTTTTGTTTGGTTATTTGCTACTCTTGTGTAATCGATAGCTATATAAAAATAATCACCAAAACTTTAAAAACAAAAATAGCCAGTAATTAAACTAAAGTAGTTAATAGCTATATGAAAATAGTCATTAAGAATAAGGACATTGTTGTCATTTCATAATATTTTAAAATTCTGAAATAGTTCAAAGAGTGTAATTTGGGACCTTAAAATTCACCCATTTTGATTTGTCCTTTAGCATTCTTGAGGGCTTTTTAGTGTCTTTTTCCCAATAAATAAATACTACTTTTGGTTTTTAATATAAAAACTAGTTAAGTAATTTGAGTAAATTAAAGAAGTTTGTTAAGTTAGTTATTTGTAATAAATAGGTGCTATCTTCCTTAAAATATCTTTACTAATCATGTGTATTAGTCAAAATTATCATTTGATAGAACATTCAATATGTGCAACTAGTTTGGAGATTATTTTAAAAATATATATAAGTACAAGAGATAAAATGAATTAGAATCTTACATTTAGAATCAAATTGAATGTTAAACTAATTTTTATATTAAAGATGAGAAGTAGTAATTTGAATGTAATGTAATGAAAAAACTTTTATTTCAGTGGATAAAATAAATAAACAATTAAAGGTCATATTCACTTGGCAAAATGTGGGAAGAAATGATAGCTGAAGCATACAATTAGACAAAAATAGGTATCAGACGAAATTACAAACTCAAGCCAACCTTCTTTCAGCATACTGTGCACGCTGGGATCAACAGGACTTTTATATGTTTTTGGTTGATCAGAGAATACTACTCATTTTATGTCACATTTGCATTACCGTTCTTAACCCATCTGATCTGATGTGGTTAAGAACGGTGATATTTAGCAAAAGAAGTTGATTTCTTACAGCATCATGAATTAAGATTCTAATTCTTATTAAAAGGGGTGCCAAAACAAAATTACTTCCAGTGAAAAAAAATTATGCGTAGGAAGGAAAAAAGCAAAGTAACTTACCAACAGGGTTGGATTCTGATTCTAACAAAATTGTCTAGGAAATATTGCCTTAAATATCAGGCAACAAGAAATCCATTTTTTACCGGACCGTGTTTATTATTGTGACAAACATAGGCTATTCAATACAAATATTAGGCATAGAGACTGAACAGGGGTAATATTTTTTCCTTAAAGAAACTTTTTTTTTTTTTATACACTGGAAAGATCCTTGAACAAACTTATGTATAGAATATAGATACTAGGTATTTGGGAAAAAATCCGGTAAAAAAAAGAAATATGAATAGATTCTGAAAAAGTATATTTATGAGTCAAGCTTTTTTGTTTTGCCGACGAGTCAAGCTTATATATTTATGATTAAATATAAATGATTTGTGTTTATAAATCAAAATGTAATATTTGGCAAAAAAAAATGTTTATAAATTTTATTCTTTTAATTTATAATTTATTTTCGAGGCAGTTTTCTTGTTCAGAGGGTTACCTGGCGGATACAGTCATACAATCCGAGAGTTCTTGGAGAGAACGAAAGAAAGAACATACCCGTGAAAAGCACCAGAGCTTCGTCACAGAAGAGAACTCGCAATCTTTTCTGCATTCGCACAACCCAAACAACCGCAAGCAATATGGGCTGTCAGGCTGATTTAGAGAGAACTCTGTATGTCCTCTCCCTCTGGCCCATGTTTATAATGCGCAAATTTTAGGGTTTCCAGAGCCCCCAACCAGATTATTCGATTTTCAGTTTGGCTCGAAATTCTGTTTTCATTGTGAATGTTTAGTGCTAACCTTGTATATCGTTTTCATTGCAGGTACCCTTACGTAACCGGATCATCAGTAGTTGCCATCAAATATAAAGATGGCGTTCTTATGGCTGCCGATATGGGAGGTCAGTTGCAACTCAATCTTCATCATGTGTCCATTAATAGTCTGCTGCATCTTCACTGTGCAACTTGGTCATTCTGCTTCATACTTTATTGCGGAAAATCTGAGCATTGGAGTTTCTTGTCATCTTCAAATAGGACATTGGATCAGTTTAAGTCAGCTTCAGCTTGTCTGATGGAATTTGGACTGTGTTTTAATTTTGTTTTTTTTAAAAAAAAAAAATCGTATGCTGTTGTGGAAATGAAACTCGTATCTTGACTGTTTGCGTTGATGCTGATATTTGATAATTTAACATAACTATACGCGCTGACACTTTTCCTGAGATGTTGCGGTCATAGGTAGACATTGCTCCCTTTAATTTCCCACAAATTTACTTGTTTTTCGTTTTCATGCAAAATATTCTATAGCATCTGAACATGGTTCTAATGCTTTTCTGGGTGTTTCTAAGATATTGATTGTGACTATTCTGAAGTTCTGGTCCTAAATTTATCAGCTTTATAGAATTGAATTTTCGCACTAAAAGCTTCCCTCTGTATCTCATGGCAATGATGGATCCACTGTGATAGGTTCATATGGGTCTACCTTGCGATACAAGAGTATTGAGCGCTTGAAGCCTGTTGGAAAGCATACTCTTCTTGGTGCCAGCGGGGAAATTAGTGATTTTCAGGAGATTCTTCGCTACCTTGATGAACTCATGTAAGCCTAGTTGTCACATATCAGAAAAGGATTTGGATTGGCTTATTTGTATTCTGCATGTTTTATCCCCTTATACCAGTGAATCCCTAATCGTTTAAGATCAGTTAAGGAACATTTCTGAGTAGTTGTATGTTTTGGCTTGTGACTGCTGCAGCCTTTATGACAATATGTGGGATGATGGGAATTCTTTGGGTCCTAAGGAAGTGCACAACTACTTGACTCGTGTGATGTACAATAGACGTAACAAATTCAATCCATTGTGGAACTCACTTGTAATTGGTGGTGTGAAAAACGGGCAGAAGTACCTAGGCATGGTATGCACTAGTTTATCTCCGTCTTTGATTCCAATGTGAAAGTGAGTTACCTATAAGAGTTAGTTTTTACTCAGTTTTGTGAATTGTTTCCAGGTAAACATGATTGGCATTAATTTTGATGACGACCATGTAGCAACTGGGCTTGGCAACCATCTTGCAAGGCCAGTTCTTCGTGATGAATGGAATGAAAATTTGACCTTTGAAGAAGGTGTCAAGTTGCTGGAGAAGTGCATGCGGGTACTTTTATATCGTGATAGGTCTGCAGTCAACAAGATTCAGGTTTTTTTCTCTTACCCTCCCTCCTCTTCCTTCCTCCCTCCACCATGCTTCCAAAATAGAACCCAACCCAACTAATAGGTAGCTGCCATTAGCATGCTGGAAGGGAGCATTGTCTATATGGAGGTTGTTAACGAGAGTGCACCCTATTTTGGTCAATTAGCAAGGGCATGGAAAAGGTATTAAAGTGTCAATGAAGAAACTAGAAAGATAATTTCTCCTTTATTAATATATGAATAAAACACGGACACATCCTTCAAAACTTGGTCGTTAATAGCATACAACCATCAGTCCATCGCACAGGATTGGCATGCTCATTGACTTTGGGCCAGGCACAATGCTCATGCGTCAAAATGTTCTCATCGAATTAGCTGATACGTTAATATGGTTCTTTCACTCCATCTCCAGATGCTAGAGCTCTCATTTACTTTATACTCCATATACATTGTCAAGTAGATGTCTCTTTTTCCATCTACTGGTACGGTTCAGAGTTCTGTTGCACTTGGATTACCAGTGGAATTTGGAAAGGAGATGGGGGCATTTAATCATGATTTTTTTTCTTCCTGAATTTCTGCTAAATCTCTTTAGAAAACATTTCTGTTTCCTTTTCAGTTAGAGGTTTTATTTATTAAATTCGATGCCTTGAGGTATCATTTGGCAGATGCTTAAGGCAGTTCTACAAGTAGGTTGATAACTGCTAAGCAGTGATTTGCTTTGCATCTAGTTCATCACTTGACCTTCTCTACACATGTCGGATCCTCCCGGGATCTAATAACACCTCTTTAGCCAGGAAACGTTAAAAGTGTCTATGTTTCAAGAAGACTAATTAATTTGGTCGGCTCATCTCAACATAGCTTGGCATAGAAACCTGACCATATAAGAATCGAAGGATTTGCCATAGAATCCTGTACTGGAAGGAAAGAAATAGTGATTTGTGCTGATGCAGGACTAGGGGAACAGTTATAATACAAGCTCACATTTAATATTTTGTGGAAAATTATGCATTTGGTTCCTATATGGACGATGTGTTGTCTGGAGAAATGGAAAAGGATGGGTCATTATGACTGCTAACTTAAGCGTTGCATTTTGTGTGTTCCAACTTCCAACTGTTTGTGTTTGTGTTTGTGTGTTTTTTTGTGTGACTCAATGAATAAGAAATGTTGAAAATGCTTTGACGTGGTAGGAGAATTGTATATGTTTTACAATCTGTCATCCGTATGTAAGTGCACGGTGCAGTATGAGGCCTAAATCAGAATTAAATGATTTTGTTTCTCCTATTCGTTTCGAGTCTGTTGTCTATTCATGTGATATTTACAACGCGTTGCAAAATTTGCAGATAGCTAAAATTACTGAGGAAGGTACAACTGTTTTCCCACCATTCTCCTTGAAAACATACTGGGAGTTCTCTGCTTTCAGGAACCCAGCGGCTGGTGCTATGGGTTCATGGTAGCTGTCTCGCAACCTTCAATACTTCCATGGAACATTCCGACGAGTCTTGCGTGAAATGGATATGAGGTGGTTGATCTTTATTTCATCGTACGATTCAGCTATTTATGGAGAAAGATGCTGTTTTTTCCCGTTTAAATTTGGATTTCACTTATGTTAACCTCTATTTCCCATGGCATGGACTCTGCCCTGTTCTACTATCTTTATGCTTTCCTTTGACATCAATCAAGGAGGCGCTTGCTTTTCTTTCTTGTTTCCAGCGATCATAGTGAATGAGTGCTGTTCGAGACGATGGATAGGGTATAATTTTTTTCCCTTTGCCAACATGGATAGGGTATAATACTGCTTGGCCGTACAAAAATATTTCCATATTTGTATCTGTGCCTTTCCACGGAACGACTTGAAGGCCGAGACTCATTGTCGTTTGTCAGATCCAAACGAACAAAATGGTTGCTGATATCTAGTTAGTATTTACGTTTACTTTTTTTCTTTTATCTAGAGAATATTTTACACAAAGCAAATTATCAAACAAGTCTTTTTTCCTTTAATTTTTATCTTTCAAAAAATGTTTTGGAAACAGGAAACCAAATATAGCCTTGATAGTTTAACATGTTTGATTTCTTGTTCTCATTATAGTTTTCTATTAAAAAAAACTAAAAAAAATATATTTTTGGTCATGTATTCTGAAAAATAAAAGGTTAAAAATTGTCTTGAAAGATAAAAATCAAAACATCACTTTTTTTAATTTTTTACCTTAGATTTTAAAAAATTAAAAGAAAGGAATAGAACATCAAAAAATCGTTTTTATGAAATTATTTTGAAATATTGAAATAGATAATAGATTTTAATGCCTTTTCTCTTTAACATGTTATATCTATCTCATCTCATGTGCCTTGCGCAACAAACAACAACTGGGCCCGATCTAGTGGGCGCCCGAGTCCAGTTCTATACCGCACACCACTGGGCTTGCTGCGTTGTTAGGGTGGAGGCAAACAGGAAACAGCGTCTCCTCTTTTTCCTTTCTGTCGTTTTAGCAAGAAGAGTATACGATACGACAACCAATTGAAGTTTGATTGTTGTGATGAGCTGTCACGGAAACGGGGTCCAACATTTCTGTACGGATTCACTGTAACCGTTCGTAAAGACTGGAAACTCCGTGTCTCATTTGTCCTCTAAAAATTTGAGGAGTCAATTGATATAAATTAAACTTTAATTCTTTTGATAAATGTTGAGTTTTCAATTGTCATTTTTAATCTAAAATGTCATCTCATAGGTCACCATCGATCCTTGCATGCATGGCTTAAAATCTACAACTTTACTTAGTGCCTGTTTGGCATCACTTATTTTGAGCTTATAAGTAGCTTATAAGCTCTATAAGCTCTATAAGCTCAATTGACAAAATTGGGTCTGTTTGGATCAGCTTTTCTGTAATTGGGCTTTTGTCTGAAAAGCTACAATAAGCTATAAACTAAAATTAACAGCTTATGACTTATAGCTTATGGCTTATAGCTTTTGAAATATGGAGAGAGAAAAAGTTGAGAAATTTATTACCTCTTTTAGTTCTTATAATAAGCCTCAAATAACTAATTTGTAGATAATAAAAAATTAGTTAAAATTAGTTGAAAGTGATGAATAAGTTAGAAATATATTTTTATTTTTAAATATGCTCCTAAAATATACTTTTATTTTTTATGTTTCACTTTATATTTAAAATATTTTTTATGACTTCTTCATATTAAATTATTTTAATTTCATTGTATTATGTGAATTATTTTTTTAATCATGTTTTATTATTTATTAAAACTCATATCTATTTTGGTCATTTACAACCAAATTTACTTTTACTCAATTATAATCCAAACAACCTTTTACCAATCTCACTTTTACAATCTAGCTTTTCTGAACTATAATCCAAACACAATTTAACTTATCCAATTTAGTTTTTTTTTATCCAATTTCACTTCTCTATAAGCTACTTTTTCAATAAGCTACTTTTTCAATTGTTGATCTAAACATACCCTTAATTCAACACTCCAACTCCAACCCCAACGTTGGCTCATGATGGCAAATAATGTTAACATTAAATATGAAATTTATAACATTTCAAACTATTCCTAACTTATAAATATATTATACTAGCTTATCTTTTAGTTTTCATTTATAACACAGTCGGAACACAGGCCCAGCACACGCCAAAAACTCCATCCAATTCTATTTGTAAGCTTCAAATGCGGAGAGGAAGAATGTGGTTTATTTTATAAGCTTTAATTTGATATTTGTCTTAATATTTAATTTACTCTTTTCAATTTTATCTTTAATTATTTATTCTCTCTCTTTTGTCATAATTTCTTTATCACATTTTTTTTTTCATATATTCTCTTCATACTTTTTCTTATTTTATTATAAGGGCATATTTGAAAACAAAAATATATTTTTAATTTCTTTATTACTTTTAACTAATTATCTATTAGATGTAAATTAGTTATTTGAAGTTTATAATAAGATCTAGAAGGAGCACTTCAAACTTTGAAATATATACATGTGTGAGTGCGGGTTATCATAGAGCCTTTTCTTCTCTTTCAAACTTGGACATTTTTTGACATTGGGTGGGAATAGCATATCAATGAATCAAAATTTAAATTTTTATTAAAAAAAAGTGTTTATATTTATTACCTGACAATATCTCTAATAGAATTATCTTTAATAAGAGACATTTTCATCTAAAAAAATTGGACTTGGGGGGGGGAAAGAAAGAAAGAAAGATGAAAAAGACGAATATCCCAGCATGCCACCCTGTAAACGTCTCCATTTCAAACATCCTGGCAACAATGACACCTGCTTTAATGTTTATCTCATTTTGCTGATCAAAGGCTCCATTTGAAATTTCATCACAAAATTGATCTGTGAATCAATGTCAGTTTCAATTCACACCAGAGCTGCTTTTTGAAAAAAGAGAAGGGGAAAAAAAAAAAAATCAAAGTAGACCCTGGCCGCTAAGGCCCTTCTCTTAATTCAAACGTCAAAGCCATCCATACAGTGGTTTTATTCTTTAAGCACTTGTATGACATGACTTATAAATACATTTTAGTTATGTAGTACTCCTCCGGTCCTTATTATAAAATCCAATTTGACTTTTTATTTGGTCCTAATATAAGACCCAATCCATTTCTCTCTTATATTTATGTATTTTTTCCAAGATAATCCTTCTAATAATGATAGTTTTAGCCAATATACTTAATTAGCAAGGATATTTTAGGAATAACAACACTTATTTATTATAAATAACCAACTTAACTTACTTCCTTAATCTCCTCAAATAAGTCAATTGGGGTCTTATAATTAGGACCGGAGGAGTATTTAATAAATCATGATTAAAAAATAGGCTCTTTGTTAGGCAAAAATAATTAAGATTACCTGTTCAATATAATTTTTTATCATAATTCTACCTCTGGTATAATTATAAGAACTAGTTGACTAATTTGAAAAGATTAAAAAAAGAAATTAAGTTATATTTGTAATAAATAGATGTTGTCTTTCTAAAAT